GCTTAGCCTCACCACTTAGTAAAATCTTCAACGAAGAAAGCTCTCTTGGTTCTTTTAAAGAATTGCTGTAAGATAGCCTATAAAGTGCCTCCTCATTAGGATAAAAAAGTTCCACGAACTCACTGTCATCAGGTTGATTTCAGTCCGTAGTCACCCTATAGGACAGGGTAGAGCTGCCCCTGTGAGTGTCCAAGGCTGTACATCTCTACGGGAGCAGAACGCCTCATCTTTCTCTCTCCAGGGAATGATGGTAGACTTCATCTGCTGAGGTTGTGGTTAGCAGTCCGATGCTTAACCACTATACCCCAGGGCTCATTGTGCATTAGCATAGGGCTTCTTCACTAACCCAGCCTGGGCCAATTTCCCATGACCTAATTTGTCAGAAGTAGATCACTGGATGGTTCTTCTGAGGCACCTCTGGGTGGACTTGAACCCCCAATCTCTTGGTCAGCAGCCAGGCTGTTAACCATTTGCATAAGGTGACCAGACGTCCCACTTTTGGCGGGACAGTCCTGATTTTTAACAATTTTTCCCCCGCGTCCCATGGTGTTTTAAAAAAGTCCCGATTTTTGGAAAGAATGCATGACAAGCTAGGGTATACGGTTTCTGGCTGCCAAGTGGCTATTTCACCAGGATATGAGTTTTATCAATGGTGTCCCGCTTCACCAATGTTAACATCTGGTCACCTTACATTTGCACCACCTGGGGTTCCAGATGTACGGAGAGTCCTGATAAAACGAAGGTCTATGGCAGGGGTTCTCAAACTTTTTAAACAGGGAGCCAGTTCACTGTCCCTCAGACCCGTTGGAGGGCCGGATTATAGTTAAAAAAAACCCAAACAAACTGTGAACAAATTCCTATGCACACTGCACATATCTTATTTTGAAATAAAAAAACAAATGGGGCAAAAACACCCGGTGGGCTGGATAAATGTCCTCAGCAGGCCGCATGAGGACCCCTGGTCTATGAGAAGGTAAGATAGTATACACATGAGGTGCTGAGCGACAGTTTTCATCATCCTGCCAGGGAGAAGGCCAGGTTTCTTTTCCATGTTTCTCCACATCCCCTTAGCGTAACAGCTGGGTGACCTCCAAGAGTGCGAGGCATAGAAATACCTATACCACTAAGCCACAAGCATAACAACAACGCTTTTGACTATTTATAATTTTACTCTCCAATCAAGAGACCCCAGCAAAATAAGCAAACCAACATTCTCCCACTGAGAATGAGGATTTAGGTGAGTGTCACCTCATTTTTCATTGTTCTCTTTAACTTTCACAAGCAGGAAAGATCATAGACTTTCAATCTCATCAGAAAACATAAAGTGTATTTCAGAAGTGGGTGAGAATTAAGAAGGCCATTTTCCAAATCATCTAAATAATTCCATAGTTAGTCCCTGGTGGTTTCTGCTAATTAGCAATGACACTTAAGTGGATTGCTGAATCACCCCAGAGAGATTTCAGTGTAAGATCAAAGAGAAAGTAGGAGAGGCTGGAAGTAGAAAGCAACTATACAAAACAGATGTGTGTGATAAAACAAAAAGACCTAGCTAGAAATGCGCAGGGAGGAAGCAATGACTAGTGCTGTACCTGAACTTGTGTGTTGATCAAAGAGCCTGCTCTGTTAAATAAAGTGACCTCCATGTCACGTTCAGAGGCTGTTTGGGAGAACAAATAAAAATCCAGAGTCCTAGCACAAAAATGGCAGGATTTAAAGGATCGGTGCTAGAGCATCTCCCAGAAACAGATTCTTAAGGCAAATTCTTTACACAGTAATTTCTGTTGGGTGAACCATTTTCAGGGTGCTGACAAGAGCTTCCTGTTATCTAGAAGCTCACTGAAAGCCAGCTAAGCATTTCTCCCCCTTTTTATTCTGTGTTTCAACTCTGTGTGTGTGTGTGTGTGTGTGTGTGTGTGTGCACATACACGCACATGCTGAGTGTCCAGGTTTCATTACCAAGGGCAGCTGCAGAACAAGGTTCGGTACATCCTGGGACCAAAATAATGAGCCCAGAGGGCCTGCCCATTCCATGAGGCTGTTTTCACAGGACTATCACTAGCTAAATCTATTGGATTTTTACCATGATTTCACACTTACAACAATAGTAAAAAGCCAATGATCTGTTTTGCCCATTAGTGACGTAGTTCTAGCAGTAAGGAACTCTGAGGTATTAGCTAAGAGTGATGCTGTCTGTGGTGGTTAAAATGACATGGCAACTTGGCAGGGCCATGATTCTTGGTTTGACAGCTCTGTAATGATATAATTTGGTAGTTATGCAACGATGTAGTCATCCTCCAATTTGTGATCTGATGTCGCCAGCCCCCATTTTTGCATACTGCCAATGTTTGCAGAACAGCCTGGTCTTTGGAACTTAAGCGTGTTGATAAGTGAGTAGTGAGTGTATATCACCATGAACTCAGAATTATTTATATTTTTATATATCCCTCTATCCATACACAGATACGGAAATAACTTACAAATTAGAAAAGGGGGAGTACTGCATACGTCAAATGCCACGCTCAAGAAAGGACAGTGCTATGTTGAAAGGGCAAAGAAGACAACATAAAAGATCTCCCAATGGCCAATCTCGGATCAATGTGAATAAAACTAAACAATAATCATATGAAGCTGTACCATCTAGAATAAACGTACATGATTCTATACTAATACAAACAGATAAATGAAGAAATAACAAGCAAATCTTCTAGTGGAAGGATTTCAATGAATAGATGTAGGAAGAATGAATGAAGGGACTATAAAATCACCACGAGACAAAGGCCACATCAATCATTGCTGTAGGCGAACCTCCCAATGCAAGCTCCAACTAATAGGTAATAGTGTTGAAGGAAAAATGGGATACTTGCATAGCTTTCACTATATTTTCTTCAAGATTTTTATGAATTAAAAAGGGAAGTGGCTGCAACAATGGGTTCAAACTTAACAACTGTGAGGATGGTGCAGGACTGGGCGTGCTTCATTCTGTTGTACATCAGATTGCTACGGGTTACAAAAGACTGGATGGCACCCAACAGCAAGAACAGCATAGCTATACTATGTACCCCTGATAGTCTGGACTCATAGTACAGCATCACCTCTGTAGTACTCTTACTGAAAATGCACGAGCTCAATCGATGCACAAAATGCAAACCCAAGCTGAGAGACATTTTGCACAACTATAACTGACCAACATACCTCAACATGTCAAAGCCATATAAGACAAGGTTAAGATTAGGAACTATGTTCCAGATTGAAGAACAGTAAGGACAAAAATTAAATGCAATATGGAATTCTCAGCTGAGTCCTGGAACTAGGTGATGACACACGACATAATGGAAAGACTGCTGACATCTTAATAGGTCTATAAGTTTAGCCAATGGAGTTTCATTGTATTGCACTAATACTAGTTTCCTGATTTTGATAATGCTTATATAAGCATTAAACTATGCTTATATAAGATGTTACCATTGGGGAAAGCCAGGTGAAGAGTACTCGGGAGCTCTATTATTTTTGTAACTTTTCTCTAGTTCTAAAATTACTGTAAAAATAATATAGGATAGGTTCAAATCCAGTGAAATCTATAGCAAAGTGGAAATAAAGTGATTCATAATCTCTCATTTCCCCATTTTAAACATACTCGATGATCCTTTTAAAATTGATTGTAGGTGGTTTACTAATTTTGTAAAACTCTTTGTATATAGCTAAGAGATCATATCTAGCAGCTCTGTCAACGACATGATTTCTTCTTATAACATTAGAAAATTAATTTTACAAGAAGCACATATCCTACTTGTCTCTTGCTGGTTGATTGGGTAACAAAACATCATGGGGCTTCAGCCCACTCAATATGGTCCCCTGAGCACTCATTTCTCTTCCTGTATTTTTCTTAGGAACCCGAAGGGTCTTTACTACCCCTGTATCTCATACAGGAGGTGGCATTAGAGAGTCCTTGCCAATCTTTCTCAAACTGTTAACCTCAACTCTTAACATTTCGTCCTACAATACTTTGCTCTCAATTTGTAAAGCAAACGATCTGACCAAACTCTAGATGTTTAATATGTGAACAGTTACGGCTTCCTGCCACTAAATCCAGTGTGCCACCATCAATTATGTCTGTTCTTTAAATCGTTGTTTTGACACTTCACTTCCTCTTATCTCAGCATCCATGTCATATTCACATTTCTGCTATGATTTCCGGGCCCTTTCTAAGTCTATTCTTTTTTAATATTTAATAAGTCCCCTCAGTATCTTCTTAGCAGTCTTCTTTTCTCTTTTAAAATTCATTCATTCAAGTATTCAGTCCATGAACTCTGAGTGAATTCTAGCAATGCCTAAGGCCCTGGGTGGCACTGTGGGGAATATAAAAATATACATATTTATCTTTTCTCGTCTAGTCTTTACATATCACCCTATTTGTTCCTTTGACCTGAAATGCCATAAGCCCCCATTTCATATTTTTAACCAATTCGGCTTCATTTTTAGGGAAGTATTCTGCTTTATACAGTGTAGGGAGGAGTCCCACTTGTCAATCAAAAATTGGCAGTTCCTTTCACAGAAGAGAAGATGAAAGAGATAAATGTAGACCATTAAAACGAGACACAGCAACGTTAATGTATCATTGCTTTATGATCTGAGCTACCTCAAAGTAAATGACCAGTTTTTAATTTTTTTTAAAAACTCAGAAGATCGTTAAGATTTAGGATCTGTAAGGTCCAAACAGGAAGACAGGCTTTCAAACAACAACAACAAAAACTCACAGGAAAACTTAAGAAGAAACCTCAAATTCGTGTCCCAATTTCTCAGGATCACACCAGAGTATATAACGAATCGGCCCAGAAAAGGGGATTGGGGACCCCCATGTTCATTAGCTGAGAACCACAGAACAAACAAGATGGACAATTTTGTTATATGTGATGTTTGGTTGTGGGTTTACTTTGACCCCATCTCTGATGGAGCTCCTCGCTATTTATACCACAGAATACTGAAAATAAAGAGGTTCTCACCTGGTGATTTTCCTTAGAAATTTGGATTAATAATTCTTTTAGTTTCCTTTTTCGTTCTTTTGCCATTTGTACTTCATCCAGAGGATTATGGGCACTCTCAAGAATGTCTTTTTCTGGCTTCCTCTGAGAACTCTCTTCTTGCCTTTTCTTCTCTCTATCAGTAATAATGTAAAAGTACACGTCTACAACGGACTTCAAAATGACTGATTTCAATCTAGTAGAGTCGGGTGAGCACTGAGTTCTCCATCACAAGACAATTCTGTTTGTTTGTTTGTTTCTAGATCTGGCTCTACTTTACAAGTAGAAAGCTCTATAGATATTTTAGTAATGTATTTCCATTAAGTCTAACATGTAATGATATTTAATTAAGATTTGCAATTTAATGGGTGCTAAGTACTCTCACGTTTTTCTGAGGGGCAGTGGGGTGATCGTCACTTAAGAAAGGAGAGAGTCTCACCATAGGTTTTTACAAAGTTTCTAAGGAGAAAAAGAATGAAGTGTTACTAATGTAAAGAGAGAATAGAATCTAGAATGATGAGAAGATACTTAAACATAGAAAGAGTAGACCTCAGTGACAACAAGGAAAAGGTCTTAAGGGAAGTACAGATAGTCCTTAGCTTTACCATGGGTTTCCATCTGAGCACTCCATCAGAAGTTGGTTCTGAATCTGGATAAATTGATTGACTTCTGGTAAGCTGAATACTTTTTTTTTTTTTAAGTTTCCATTATCATTGCCTTAAAAAAATCAGTTTCTTTAAACATTTGATCTTTGTCTTTGGAGGTTAAGACATTGCATATAAATGTACAGATCCATTTTAATACCTACATACATACCTAAAAGCACACAAAGCATAAAATGTATGCCAATGGTGAAATTAACAACTGATGCTTTCAATGGTAAAAAATGCTGAATAATATAGGTCTAGTCTACAATGAAATTGGTATCAGTGTTGAAACAACAGAGTTGGAGTTGTAATGGCTATCGGGCATGTGCAAAATTCAATTGTTGTATGTTGTTAGAGTTGAATATGGTCCAATTTCTATGCTTTAGGACTTTCAACACCAACTTTTTGTGCACTAGGCCATAGCATGCTAGGTGTCAGTGTTTGAATAGTAAATCACAACGGTGCAGATCTGAAAAGTACATGCTGTAATACTGTAAGCAGTATGTATTGTTAACAATAAGGTATACCAAAATAAAACAGAAGAACCAGATGGTTGTGCTTTGAAAGAACGGCTCCAAAAGGGCTTAGCCTTTTTTCCCCAAGGTCATTACTGGTGATGAGACATGGTGCTATTCTTACGACCCCAAAACCAAACATCAGTCCAGTAGAAGCCACCACTGCCACCTTGTCTAAAAAAAAACCATCAAGTGAAATCAAAGATCAAGATGATGCTCATTTGTTTTTCTTATGTGATGGGGACGGTGCATTTGGAGTTTGTTCCACCAGGGAAGGCTGTTAATCAAGCTTTCTATTTAGAGGTTCTGAAAAGATTGTATAACAGTGTGTGACAAAAAAAGGCCTGGTTTGTAGCAGACAGGGGACTGGTTTTGTTACCACAACAATGCACTTGCTCAAGTAACCATCTTGGTGCACCAGTTTTTGTCAAAAAACAGCACACCTCTCTTGCCCCATGCACCTGACTCGCCGGACATTGCTCATGAGACTTCTGTTTGTTTCTGTGAATGCAGAGGGGCAGGAAAGGACAGCAGTTTGACAAAGTGGACAAGATGAAGAAAAAAATGAGGGAGGGGCTGTCAGCCATCCAAAACGTTGAGTTTGAAAAATGCTTCCCAGAATGGAATCACAGATTTGACAAATGAATTAAAGTGTAATGGAGAGTACTTAGAAGGTGACAAGGTTGTTTTCTAAAAAAATTTAAATATAGAGCTTTAAAACAATCTGGTCTTTTGGGGAGTACCCTCTCATATTTCTGGCCATTTTCTTTTTCACCCACACACCTATTGATTTTTTTTTCTCATGTAGGGCTTTCGTCTTTCATGTACCAATTCAAGTGAGCTCATAGCTCAAAATAAACAAACAAACAGAACTGTATTCCCCTAAATGACTACGATGATCTGTCTATAACCAACCAATATAGTTAGGGCATTAGTTACTTTGAAGAGAGGCAGTAAAATATTCTTTTTGGTAGAGTGTTTTAACTTTTGTAAGCCATCCTATTCCTAATACATTATGCAATCTCTAAGTATCTCCTTTAAGAGCTGTAAAATGAAAACCAGTAACTTTACACTAGAAAAACCAGCAGATAGCACCTTAACCAACTGATCAAGGTTAACAGTATCAGTAATGTAATGTACCCCTTATTTTCTATAAGAATTAGTGAGGAACTATAAGCACTGGCAGTGTAACAGGTTACCAGTTGGGCTGTTAACCCAGGGTTGGTGGTTCAACCCCACCAGCTGTTCTGAGAGGGGAGAGTCCAGCTTCCTGCTCGTGTGGAAACCAACAGGGATAGATCTGCTCCATCCGCTAGAGCAGTGCTTCTCCACCTATCTAATGCCGCGACCCTTCCATACAGTTCCTCAGGGTGTGGTGACCCCCCCAACCAGAAAATTATTTTCATTGCTACTTCACAACTGTCATTTTGCTACTGTGACGAATCAGACAACCCCTGTGAAAGGGTCGTTTGACCCCCAAAGGGGTCGCGACCCACGGGTTGAGAACCGCTGCTCTAGATACAGTTCTAACACTGGATGGGATTTTTTAACATAACATTCAAATGTCTTATCTGTTACGAAAGTGTACACGTGACCATTGTGAGGACTGCAGAGGTATAATATTCCACCCAGCAAAAAACACTGCTTCACCGTTCAACAATTATTATCTAATTCCTGTAATTATTTTACTAATGCCTGCTATTATAGGTTAGGTGATGATAATTATCTTTCTACACAAATCTTCGCCTGGATATACGATCATTTTCCTCAGACCATTTTTCTAGCACTGCAATCCCCAGGGCGAGTGCTAAAACCCTTTTTCTGGCTCTTGCTGTTTATGGCCAAATTGCTTTCTTGAACGTTAAAACCATTTAATCCGCTCAGAAGGCTAGCCAATTATCTGTGTCACTGTAACCATGGAGAAGGGCTTCCCTTTTAAAAGGAATGGCTGGTCAGTGCTCATTTGCTGAGTGCCCACGAGGAGCGGAACCTGCTCCCATCAAATGTTCCTTGTTTTCACCACTTCTTTTAGGTCAGCCTACCTTTCTCAGGGCTTGGGAGCCCTTTGAAAAGCAAGGTCAACCTGGGCCAGCGCCCACTGAAACACTGGTGAGTGCTTTCTGAGAGGACCTGCGTCCGGAGCCGGCCTGGGCCTGAGGAGCCCACCATCCACTGCAGAGCTGTAGTACACTGGGTAGAAAAAGAGCAATCGAGAGCAGGGGGCGGATGGGCGCGAGGGGGAGGTGTGTGGGCTGAGGGGGGTGGGAGAGCTTATCCACTCGGACTTTCTGGCCTATCAGAGGATTCACTTTGAAGATTCACGCACTTCAGTCCTCATGCTGCTGGACAAATACATCAATTATTTATTCTTTGAAGCTCATTCTCCGCCTGGAGGCTGGATCGTAGTATTAGGTCCTGTGGGGTTTTCTCTTACGTCAGAGATGTTTCGTGGGCAGTGAGGTCACGGTGACTTTCCAGAGGCATATTAGGACATAGACCTTCAAGACATTCACATAGGACATGGTGCAGTGAGCCAACCCACAGGGGGAAAATGTTCCACCTCCAAGATGTTCCTGAACCAAAGACACGACATTTATCATACTACGTCTATTAAAATTACAGAAATATTGAAAGTGATGATAGTCCCCAGTGGTGGGCAGAGGGTGGTAAACTGGTCTATAGTTGGCGATAGTGTAACTAAGTAAGCATTTTGGCGATGTTCCAAGAGTCATCAAAAGGCTCATACCACTTAACTCAGTAATTAGATGTCTATAAATTTATCCTAAGACTATAATTCAAAAGCATGAAAAGGCTCTATGTTTAAGGATGCTCATTGCAATAATAATTATATTAGTGAGAAAAGTACCCTTACTAGGATGGGGATGAGTTCATGATATAAACTATGGCATAGGAACGCAATAGAGTAGTATATGGACCTCAGGGCTCTGGGGAATGTGTTAATAACAATATATCAAGTTAAATGCACTCTATGGTTACACCGAAGCAGGTAAAGGGACCCAGACCAGGAGGAACCGGAACCGCGGGAAATGAAAACAGTGCATTCCTTCAGCTGGTGGAGGAGTGGGCAGGCTCTGCCACTGCCATGCGCATGAAAACAAGAACAAAACCTTTAGAGCAGCGGTTCTCAACCTGTGGGTCGCCACCCCCTTTGGGGGGTCAAACGACCCTTTCACAGGGGTCACCCAATTCAAAACAGTAGCAAAATTATAGTTATGAAGTAGCAACGAAAATAATTTTATCGTTGGGGGGTCACCACAACATGAGGAACGGTATGAAAGGGTTGAGAACCACTGCTTTAGAGCATTTCCCAAATGACAGCCTACGCTGAACCCCGCCCTCTCCAGGGCTGGCTTACATTTTCCATGCTTCTTCCACAGTGCGTCTCCTCTCAAGGATCTCCCTCCGCAGCTTTACCATCTCCCTTTGGATCTCCTCCTCCTCTTTCTTGGCCTCCAGAGCCTTCCTTTTCTTCTCTTCTTGTACCAGACACTGAGCCTCTAAGAAAGCCGATTTTTGCAGGGCCTTTTCCATTTTCTGGCGCGCTAGTTCTTTCTCACGTCGTAAGCGATTTTCTTTCACCTGAAAGAAAAAAAAAAAAAAGATACAATAAGGAGGAAATGCAGTCTGTCACACAGAAGGGGTTATGCCAAACGCTGGACTACATTTGCAGTTCATATGCACACGGTTGGAAGCATTCTGGCACAGAGCGCCACTGTTTGTTGGTAGAATGGAGGGAATTGGCTGGTTTCCTGGGTAAGTACCTATACCAAATTATACCTGAAGTCAGGTAAGGTGACTCTCCAATAACCTGGGACTGGCCTAAATCATGGAAAAGATGAGACTCTCCTGGGTCAAATCCCAAGTTTTGGTAGTTATTGAGTAATGATTAGCCAACCCACAAGAATCTTCAATGTGTGCATTACTATTTAAGTAGGCCCTGCTAATTACAATTTGATAATTTTTTTTGACGTTATATTGTGAAGACTTGAACCGTTTATATTCTGCTTTCAGAAACACCACAGCCTTGATTCAAATCTTCTATTATTTAAATACGCCAGTGATTACAAAAAAGGTGGACTGAAAGACATAAAATCCACAGAGCAAACATTATTTTTTTTAAACCTATTAATTCGTTAATGACAAAACTGTGAATTGAGGCATCCTTTCTTTTCTGCAGATAGTGGGTTAAGCATTGGGCTCTTAACTGACGGGTTAGTTGGAACGCACCAGGGCTTCCGGAAGAGATGAGGCAGGCAGTAGCTCCCATAAAGGTTTACAGACATGGAAGCCATTTCTACTCTGCGAGTCGGAATTGACCTGCAAGCCAGGGAGCGGGCTCCTTTCTGCTTTAGTTATTCTTATCTTACTCTCTAGTTGTGATAAGACTTCCAGGCCATGGCTGTCTCTTATGAACGTTTTCTCCTCCTTTTTGCCAAAAAATCCAAACCAGGATCATGCTCCTGTCTCTGCTTCCGCACCAGCCCTAGGGTGTGGATTTCAATCCTGGCCATTAGAAAGCCAGTGTGATACAGACAGCACACATGTGTAGGGATCTTCATTCCAGGGACATTTAGTGCTCGGCATTATGGCAAAGAGCAGTCTCACCCTGCTGCCCTAAAGCTCGTCCACGGGCGTTCAGAGACAACTCCTTTTCCTACAACTGATTCTTTCCGATAACCTTTTTTTTGGAGAAAAGAAATTTCCCACATGCCTTTCTCATTCAAAACAGCTGAACTAGATTGAATTCTGTTCTGTTCTCTTTCAAACTGTAACCACAAAATGAGTGAATTTCAGATGTCAAGAAAATTGTCATTATAACACTCACCAGCATATTCATGACATTAATAATGCACAATTCAGAAACCAAATGGAAGCAAAACCCAAGCTACACTATTTGTGAGAGAAAGTGGCATATCCAGACTAATAAAGCTTAGCTCATGATGTTATTGGTCAATATTTTTCTTTCTTCTTCTTTTTTTAAATTCTTAAATCAACTGCTTCCTACCCTCAGTCTATGAGCATCATTTTCTCCTAAAACTCTTATTTTTTCTTTCTAACCAAACCGCAGATGGCACCCTTTTCCATAATAAAGCCAAAGTCTTTATTTAAGCGTATTAAATGTGTTACACAAAGGCTGCTTCCTGTTATTCACTTAAATGTTGTTTTTCCCTCCCACCTGCTTATGTCTCATCTCCATGGTAAGACGAGGGTCCTTCTGCTGCCGCGGGTCTTGATATTCCTGCAGTCCAAGATCATCCAAAATCCCAGAACCCACCACATCCTTATGGAGCAGATGGTCCATAAATTTTTGAACTGAGGTACTTTCCTCTTCTTCCCCCAAATAGTCACACAAGTCTGAGGGAAACAGCAACAACAAAACAGGGAAATTAAAAAAAAAACCAAACCCAAAATTAACTTAATGTTAGTATAATTCCCTTATTTATATAAAGAGTCCTACTATGATAAAAATACAAACATGTGAGTGTTCAATAAATAGTACACACACACACACACACACACACACAAAACAACAATTGGATGTGAATCGTCCAAAGAAATTACCTTTAACTAAGAGAAAAAAATATCTCCACGCTTGCTAATTTATAAATTATCAAGGGTTCATGAGGGAGGGAGGGAGAAGGGAAAATGAGCTGATACCAAGGGCTCAAGGCAAAAGAAAATGTTTTGAAAATGATGATGGCAACATATGTACAACTGTGCTTGCCACAATGGATGTATGTATGGATTGTGATAAGAGCTGTAAGAGCCCCCCCATAAAATGATTTAAAAAAAATAAAATCTCCAATCATAAGGAACTAGCCTCATCCATTTCACTAAAGATTTCCTCACTATGAAATGTAAAAGATGTGATTTCACTCTGATCACCCTTGAGGATGTCAATGCTTTTTTTTTTTAAAGGCTGTTTTACTGACGTAGGACTGACCTACAATCAACTGTAAAAAGTTAAAGTCTACCGTGTGAGTTTTGACAGACAGCTATATCAAAAAGCCCATGACTAGCATCCAGAAAAGGAACGTGGGCAGGAGCCCCCAGGGTCCTCATTCTGAGGTGTAGTCTCTCTCACTCCTCTCAGAGCACTTCCCGGCCCTCCTCCAAGCAGCCACATTCTGTCTTGTTACTGTAGACTAAGTTCCTTGTTCAGGATTTTAGATACATGAGATCATCCACTACATACTCTAGCTTTGTCTGCTTCCTTCACTTAGTCTAATTATGCTGAGACTCTTGCATGTTGTTGTTTGCCTCAGTAGTTGATTTCTTTGTATGCTGAGTAGTACACCTGGATGAACATACACACTTTGTCTATTCCATTGACAATTAGAGGTTGTCTCTCAATTTTTACTATTTCAGATAAAACTGTTCAGGTGGGCTCACCAAATGTGTCTGAGAACGATGGAGGAGTGGGGGGGGAACCACTACCTTTACTCCCAATTCAAGGAAGCCCCTGTGTGCTTTTGAGAAATTCTCACAAAGCAGCTGTGTAACTTGTGTGACACCAAGTCTACACAACAGTGGAACTTTTCTCGGAAAAGAAAACAAAACTAAGACAATAATAACCTTCATGATCTAATACTAACTAACCTGGCAAGATACCCTGAGCTGGAACTCTGCAAATCCCGTTAGGGGGGTCACAAAGTCTAAAGTTCTGAAAGTTAGAGGAGTTCTTCGAGGTTGCCAACGCTGAGCTCCCCTGCTCCCTCCTAAGGAGAAAGGAGGATCTGTGGAGTCCTTCCCGTGGGCCTGACCTTCTCTGCAGACAGCTCCTAGGACAGCGAGCCAGATGCTTGGTGGAGAGCCCTTTCAGCTAACAGGGGGCTGGCTCTAGTCAGCACAGCTCCTCCCTTAATTAGGATCATTAAAATATATCATTGCTAACTTTATTCTTTGGGGAAAATGCTTACACAATATTAAAAATTATTTCTGTTCTTGTTGCAGTCAGATTAATCTAGTCTCCTTGTATTTTGTACATTCTCCTTTGTGTTTTAAAAGAGCACAATATTTACAGGGGATAATCATGATTTTTTTGAGTTACAATAGAAAATATCTTGGTCCCTCCCTCAGGAATGATCGTTTAATTTTTTGTGAGAGTTGTGATCATATCTGCTCTTTTGGATACATACCTTGATGTTCCCATACTCTTAATAATTCTTTGTATCACATGGTGTCTAGTTCTCTCTTCATCCTTCAAGGTATTTTCTGCATTATTGATGTCGTGATTATGGTGGCACTTGGGGAACATTTCTGATACTTTGTATTAGTTCAGAAGCATGTACACAGGATATAGTGAAACATTTTTAATCATTTTATTGGGGGCTCATACAACTCCTATAATAATCCATCCATCCATTGTATCAAGCACATTTGTACATTTGTTGCCATCATCATTTTCAAAACATTTTCTTTTTACTTGAGCCCTTGATATCAGCTTCTCATTTCCCCTCCCCTCCCCGAATCTCCTTCTCTCATGAACCGTTGATAATTTGTAAATTATTATTATTTTTTATGTCTTACACTATTGGTTCTCAACCTTCCTAAAACCACGACCCTTTAATAAAGTTCCTCATGTGTGGTGACCACCCTAACCATAAAATTATTTTCATTGTTATTTCATAACCATAATTTTGCTACTGTTATGAGTTGGGTGACCCCAGTGAAAGGGTCATTCAGCCCCCAAAGGGGTCATGACCCATAGGTTGAGAACCGCTGTCTTACACTGACTGATGTTTCCCTTTACCCTATAGTGAAACTTATTTCCTTTTATATGATGCAAATAGGTCTTGTTATCTACCTGTACTTAGGTCAACTGGTAGAGTAGTCGATTGCATTATTGGGCTACACTAACCATAAAGTCAGCAGTTTGAATCCACCTGCTGTTCCATGGGAAAGAAATGAGGCTTTTGACCCCTATAAAAAGTTACAGTCTTGGAAATTCACAAGGGCAGTTCTACCCTATCCTAGAGGGTCACTACGATTCAGAATTGACTCGATGGCAGTGAGTTTTGTTTTCTGAGATCATAGCAGGCCTCATTCATCTTATGCCTTTGGGGAGTTAAGGGAATGATTTTACATTTTATTGAATTTTTTTTTCTTTTTTAACATTTTATTAGGGGCTCATACAACTGTTATCCCAATCCATACACACATCAATTGTGTAAAGCGCATTTGTA